ATATTTGCATTGCAGTATTTTCATTGTCATTAGTCTCCAGGATGTTTTAAATTTCTTCTTTGATCTTGTTGATCACCCAATCATTGTTTAATAGCATGCTATTCAGCTTCTAAGTGTTGGAATTTTTTGGAATGTTTTTATTGTAGTTTACTTCTAATATTATGCCATTGTAGTCTGAGAAAATGCTTGATATGATTTAAATCTTCTTGAATTTGGGGAGACTTTGCTTGTGACCCAATATGTGGTCTACTTTTGAAAATGTCCCATGTGCACTTGAAAAGAAAGTATATGTTCCATAGCTTTGGGGTGAAATGCTCTGAAGATGTCTATTAGGTCAATCTGATCTAGTGAGTCATTTAGAATTGCTGTTTCTTTGCTGATTTTTTGTCTAGAGGGTTTATCCAGTGATGTCATGGTGTATTAAAGTCCCCTACTATGATTGTATTGTTGTCTATCTCTTCCTATCTTCCAGGAGTTTTTTTTTATGTGTTTGGGTGCTCCTGCATTGAGTCCATATATGTTCACCAGGGTTATATCCTCTTGTTGTATCAATCCCTTTATTATTATGAAGAGGCCTTCCTTACCTCTTTTTATGGCCTTTACTTTGAGCTCTTTTTGGTCAGATATAAGTACTACTACCACAGCTTTTTTTTTTTTTTTTTTTTTTTTTTTTTTTAATTTCCATTTGCTTGAAAGGTATTTTTCCATTCCTTCACTTTCAGTCTGAGTGGGTCCCTTTTTCTGAGGTGGGTCTCTTGTAGACAGCATATATATGGATTGCGATTTTTTTTATCCATTCAGCCTCTTGATGTCTTTTGATTGGAACATTTAGTCCATTTACATTTAAAGTTATTATTGAAAGGTACTTGTTTGTAGCCATTTTTATTTTTGGTGTCTGTGTTCCTTCTTAACTTTTTATTCTTTTTACACCCTTTAGCATTCTTGAGTTGGTGGCTTGGGAGTGATAAACTCCCTTAGCCTTTGTTTATTTGTTTTTGTTTGTTTATTTGTTTTGTCTGTGAAGCTTCTTATTTCCCCATCAATTCTGAATGATAGCCTTGCTGGATAGCGTATTCTTGGATTCAGTCCCTTTGTTTGCATCACTTTGTAAATTTCCTTCTATTCTTTTCTGGCCTGATGTGTTTCTGTCCAGAAATAATTTGATAATCCAATGGGAGCTCCCTTGTATGTAAATTTCTGTCTCTTTTTTTTCAGCCTTTAAGATTCTTTGTCCTGAATATTTGCCATTATAATTATGATGTGTCTTGGTATGGGTCTTTTGGGGTTCATCCTTTTTGGGACTCTGTGTGTGGTATGTGACTTTTTTCTTCACCACATCAGGGAAGTTTTCTGACATTATTTCTTCAAAAAGTCTTCTAAACTTTGTTCCTCTTCCTGTTGTTCTGGCAACCCTGTTATTCATATGTTGCATCATTTCATGTTATTCCATAGCTCCCTTAGCCTCTCCTCCTATCTTTTAATTTTTTTCTCCAATTGCAATTCAGTTTGGCTGTATTTTGCTAACGTCTTCTAATTCACTAAGTCAGTCCTCCACTTCTCAGAGTCTACTGTTGAACCTTTCCATGGTGTTTTCATTGCAGCTATATCATTCTTCATTTATTCTTGATTCTTACATAAGTTGTTGATTTTTTTAATCCATTTCTTCTTGATTCTTACAAAAGATGTTGATTTTTTTTCTTCCATCTGGTTCATGAACTCTATGACCCTTTTTCTGAATTCCTTTTTCTGACATATTGCATGCCTCTGTTTCACTTAGCTGCTTTTCTGGCTTTTCTTTCCTTTGGTGGTATCTTTGTCTACCCATTTTTGGTCTCACCAAGCGTTGGGCCAGTCAGAGGAGAGCGTGCTTCAGAACTCACAGGAGCCTGTGCCCAGCATGGCTGGAGCCTCGTTGACCAAAGGATCACAGCTTATGTAGCAGGTCCCTGGCAGGGGTGGCTGTAGAGTCCCAGGTGTTATCTGAGGGAACTCTGGGTGGAGTTGAGCTGGGCACCCAATTACAGCAGCTCTCCCCTTCAAAAAGGCTAAACCTCTGAGGACAAGCTGGCCTCCCAGTACTGTTTGCAATGGTAGTAGAGGCTGCCTAGTTATGCAAGCCTGATTAGTCTGCCCCTGAAGGTTCCATGGGATCTAACACTGTGCCTCATTCACACACACACACACACACACACACACACACACACACCACCTGACCACACACACTTCTTTTACTCACTCACTCACTCCCTCATGCTCTTTCCCTCACTGCTGAATTCTTCCTGCCTCTGTAGTTTGGTTTGAGGTGTTATTTACCCATTTGTGGATGGAGTTTCCACTTCAGATGTCTGTTATATGGCTTGCTCTCAAGCCCTTGGCCAGACAGGATAAAATTCACCTCAACAAGACACAACACAAAGGGAACTAAACACAAATATACTCATGACACCAATAACTCCATATAAGTGACCACCTAGAAAAAGAGTTAGGGGAGAGAAAAGACAGCACAAATGATATCAAAGAGAGAGAAAGATAAGAGATAAAAGACAAAGGAAGAAAAAGGAGAATATATATATGAAAGTAGGACACCATAGAATCAATAGATAAACAAACAAACAACAACAAAAAAAATACAAAGACCTAACAGCCAGCAAAGAGGGTTGGGGCAAAATCTGTAGAGGCTGAGTTTATATACTGAAAACAAGATTAAGAATTGGATAAATATGGGGAGGACCTCAATTTAGTATTGAGGAAGTAGAAAAGGAATAAGTGGATAAGAAGAAAGAGAATGAGAAGAAAATAATAATACATTTACAAAAAAATTGACTTAAAAATGGTATAAAAAATAAAATTTCAAATAAAAAATAGTGATAGAAAAATAATGTGAAAAGAAATAGAAAATAAAGCAACAAAGAAAAACATGAAAACAAAGAAGAAAAAAAGGGAAAATAAAAATAAAAGTGAAGTTCTTCCTTTGGCTGGCTTATGATCCCAGTCGTTTGTATTATATTGTTTCTCAGTTTCTGGTCGCTAGGGCTGAAGATTTCTCTTTAGGCCAGTTCCTGTGACCTCTCAGGGAGTATTCAGATTCCTTTGTCTCATTCAGAGTGGGATCTGGGTGTGGTTGTATTGGTTGCCAGGAGACTGGAAGGAGGGGCCATCTCTCAGGAGAAAATGGCAATGGGGGGCTCAGATATGACTCAGCATCAGACTGTTCACTCTCCCCTGATTTCACATGTCCACTTCTCCAGCACCTCAGCCACAGGTAAGTGTCTGTATCTTAAAGGTCCTATGAACTAGGTTCAGTGAAGAAAGGCACAGGCCCCAGAGTAGGGAAGGACTGTGTCCCTGCAAACTCCTCTCTTGCCTACACTGAGTGTTCCAGCCAGCCCTTCAGAGATACCTCTGATCTCAGATCCAAAATCCAGAATCCAAGGTCTAAAATCCTCTACCTCCCACAATCTTGTGGACCCTTTTGTTTTCACAGCCAGACACTTTGCCTGTCCTCGGGGACACAGTTTGGTGCTGTGTGGTTTCTCCCTAACCCTCTGGACACAGAGGTCCAGCAGACTCTCTTGCCGAGATCCTTGATTTCATTTTTCTCCGGGGGACCTCTGCCCTTCCTGGCTGCAAACTGTCTCACCAGCTGAGTCTCGTCCACCAATTGGGGCTGAATTCCACTCATTTCAGCCGCTCACTCTATTTGCTCCGGACAAGGTTCAGGACACATCCATCTATTCTGCCACCATTTTTGTCTCCTTGATCCTTTAATTCTTTTTTTAAAAATATATTTTGTTGATTTTTTTTTTTACAGAGAGGAAAGGAGAGGGATAGAGAACTAGAAACATCGACGAGAGAGAAACATCGATCAGCTGCCTCCTGCACATCCCAGGCTGTTGCTTGGCTGTTAGGTCTTTGTATTTTTTTGTACTGGGATGTGCCCGCAACTATGGTAAGTGCCCTTGACCGGAATTGAACCTGGGACCCTTCAGTCCGCAGGCTGAAGTTCTATCTACTGAGCCAAACCTGTTTCAACTCAGTCCTTTAATTTAAAAAAAAAAAAAATCTACTCTCTCCTATTATCTATCTCTTTGTTTTTTGTTCTATATTCTAGAAAATTTTCAGAAAAATATGTTTCTATTTTTTTCTCCCTATTTGTTTTGATGACTCTCTTTCATGATATTGAATTTACTCAAATGTCTAGGATCTTTGACTATTCATATGATGAACATAGGGTGAATGGAAAACAGTCATTAAAAAGAAGGGGACTATTTAAATACAGACTGGACTTGTGATTTTGTTTCATTACAGGGTTATTCTGTGGAGGATATTAGTTATCATTGGTTAGGCTTGAAGCCATTAGTTAGGCTTGACTACTTCCTTTGAGATAAATCTGGGAGAGAGGTGCTAGCTGTTTACACTCTGGAGGTGGACAAGGGGAGAGAGTGAGCGTCTTATCTCTTCAATATGATTTATTTGATTTAGTCACCAATTTCAGTCCCTTACCACACTCTTGTTCTGCTTTGTGTCTAGTTTCCTCCAGGCTCGAGCCTCTCTGACTCAGTTTCTCCAGAGAGTATACCTCCTTCCTCCTACCTGGGCAGTGGTGACCATCTAGGTGCAGGGGGTTGATCTTGGGTGGCTGCGCTGTTCCTCTCACCTTTCTGAGGTATCTGGCATCTCCAGTTTCTGGATTGTTCCTCATGTTCTAAAGTATAAATATGCCTACATTTTATTGCCTCCCCTCCCCTCCACCCCCCACCCCCTTGCCAACATCACAAAGTTAGATTTCAGATATCTAGGTCCTGCTAATCAGTTACCCCTTTCCACCGGCTTTACATCTTGAAATTTTTTCTTGCCATTTTTTTTTCTCTCCTTGAGGTTTCATACCTTATTTTTATTCCCTTATTACCATTTTATTGAGGGTTTGGAAAGAGTGTACATAAAGCCATATATTCAATCTTCTAAGTAAAACAGGATCTTTTCTTTCTTTTTTTCCACAGTGGATCAAGTCAGCTCTGATTCATCTAAAGATTCAGATAAACTTATCAAGTAAGTTTTTCTTCACATAATTCTATGTCAATTTATTTGCTAAAGGGCTGTTTATTTAAATTGTTTACATGATCTCTCATAATTGAATTATTTTTTAACTCAGAAAAGGAAGTAGATATTTTTCCTCTTACATTTTTTAAAGTTTTCAGGGAGAACATGGAAAATTATTGAATTCTTTTTAGATGATTACATTAACTTTGAAAGGAACTATATGAACTCACCTAGTCTTTTAATTTTGATATTATTGAAAAGAAAAAGCATGTTGTGAACATAACGAGTACAAACCATTATTAGCAGAAATCCAAGTAATTTAGGAGAAGGTAGGTTCTAGAGAAAATGGTGAGGATGAGGGCAGAAGTCACTGTATGTACCTTTTGGGAAACAACCTGACAATGTGGCACAAAGTCAGCCTTGAATACCACCAGGTTTATAGGTCAGCGTTCTCCTATCTAGCTCTGCAGGTACATGTTGTTTGGCTTTCTAGTTATATAGATGTAGTCTTTTGTCAACAGTCATCAAATTGTATGCTTACTATCTGTGTTTTACTGCATGCAAATTATACTTTAAGTTGATCTAAAAATAGTCAACTATCTTTACAACTCTTTTTATAAATCTAGTTATTTCAAAATAAAAAAAAAATTTTGACTAAAGATATCAAAACTTTTTTCAGTGGGTAGAGAAAATGGGTATACTTCCAAATTTTCAAACTCTGGTTCTAAAATATGAGATCATTGCAAGAAAGATAAATTATAGACTAATATCTCTCAGAAACATGATAGATAAAACATGATACTACATCATGTCCAAGGGGGCTTGATTTCAGGAAAGTCAAGTGGGTTAAAAATTTGAAAATCAGTGTAACTCACTCTGTTAACTAAATAAAGGGGATGGGGGGAATTCATAAAATGATCTCAATTAATCCAGAAAATACATTTGATAAAATTTAACACCCATTCATGATAAAAATGCTCAGCAAACTAAGAATGAAAGACAATTTCCTTATCCCAATAAGCTTATACTTAAATATGAAATGTTGGAATGCTTTTTCTTCTGAGTTTAGGAATAAGACAAGTATCCTGTTATCACCACTTCTAATTAACACTGTACTGGAGTTCCTAGCCAGCACAATGAGGCAAGGAAAAGAAAGACAAGCTCTGAAGTTTGGAAAGAATGAAGTAAATTAATCTTTATTAACAGATAAAAGGATTATTTACATAGTAAAATTCAAATGAATATAGAAAGCTTGAAAATTAATGAGTAAATTCAGCAACAACTCTAACTACAAGGTGAACATTTAAAAATCAACTATATTTTGTATACTAGCAACCAACACATAGAAAGTGAAATTTTAAAAACACCACGCAACACAAAATTTAACAAAGATGACTAAGACAACTATACTGAAAACTAAAAAATAAATAAATAAATAAAAATAAAATCTGGGGGAAATTTTTAAAGACCTAAAGAAATAGAGATTTATAACATTTGCAACTTAGAAAGAGTAAATATTACTATAATGCCAATTCTTCCCATAATTAATCTATGTGTTCAGTTTAATCTAATTCAAAATCTCAGCAGTATTTTTCTGGAAATCAACAAGGTGATTCTCAGCACAATTTACCATAGCTAAGATTTGGAAACAGCCTAAGTGCCCATCAGCAGATGAGTGGATAAAAAACTGTGTTACATCTACACAATAGAATACTATGCAGCTATAAAAAGAAGGAACTTTTACCATATGCAACAGCATGAATGGAGCTGGAGAGCATTATGCTAAGTAAAATAAGCCAGTCTGAGAAAGATAAATATCACATGATCTCACTCATATGTGGTATATAATGAACAACATAAACTGATGAACAAAAACAGATCCAGAGACTAAGAAACAGACCATCCAACCTCAGAGAAAAGGTGTGTGTGTTGGGGGGGTTAGGGGGTGAAGTGGGGAATGGTAAGAGATCAAATAAAGGACTTGTATGCATGCGTATTAGCTTACCAATAACACAGACACTGGGACATTGGGGGCTTGTTGGGGGTGGAAGTGGCAATCGGGGGGGCAGTCTGGATAAAGGAGACATATGTAATACTTTAAACAACAAAAAAGTGAAAAATAAATAAAATGTATCTAGAAATGCAAAGGATTTAAACTATTATAGCAAGGCAATTGAAGAAGGACAAAGAAGATTGTCATTCCTAGATATCAAGACGTACTAGAACCGTGGTCTGCAAACCGCAGCTCGTGAGTCACACACAGCTCTTTGGCCCCTTGAGTCATTGGCAAAGGCCAGCTAGGAGTACCCTAATTGAGTTAATAACAATGTATGTACCTATATAGTTTAAGTTTAAAAAATTTGGCTCTCAAAAGAAATTTCAGTCGTTGTACTGTTGATATTTGGCTCTGTTGACTAATGAGTTTGCCGACCACCATACCAGAATGTTAGAATAAATTTTGCTCTGGTTGGGTCTTTTTAGGTCAGGTTTCTATCCCCAAACTTGTCACCATTGTAGGACAGGCCCTGACTTAGATCCAGGGGAGGGGGAAGTTCCATCAGACCGAATGACATATACACAATGGGAGGACAAACTAGTCATTCAGGAGGCAATCACAATGTCCACTGTGACAGCTTTCCTAGTCATAAAGTTCTATTGGACCGGTACCTTGCTAGGTAAGAGTTTGTCAGCACAGAGAGCAAAGGAGTCTCTGGCTGGAACGGCTTGCACAGACACAGAAATGGGATATTACCGTGTGCTCAGGGTAAGCAGGAGGTTCCATGCGATGGTGCCTCTGGGTGTGTGCATGGATGATGGCAGTAAAGGTTGGAAAAGACTTGATGGTGAAGGGCCTTGATCAGTTCTATCAGAAAGAGTTCAGATTTCATCCTGCGGAATTAGAAAATCAAAGACGTTTTTCAAACAGAGGCATGATAACCTGGAATAGGGAGAGACTGGGATAGAAAAACAGTTAGGAAGCTGTCTAGAGTTTGCAGGAGAGAAGGAAAGAGGTACTTATCTGAGTCCATTCAGAAGTGCTGAACCCCCTCCGTGGCTCTTTCCATAGCTGATTTCATTGAATGCTCATAAGAAACGCTGGTGAAGCTCTCTCTCTCTCTTGGTTTTATAGTTGAGGAAACAGGAATGGAGGGTTAGGGCATTTTCTCACCGTCACACATCTAATAAGTCTCAGTGCCAGTGTTTCCTCCCAGGCCAGGTGACTCCAGAGCCTGTGCTATTAATCATGATACTAGATGACTAACTACCCAGAGACACTAGGGGCTGAGTCCTTAGGCTTTGTTACGGCTGGCATGTTGCTTCCCTGAAATAACACTAGCACCATTCTCTGCTCCCCGTAATTTCCCTTTTGTTTCCTTTACTGGCTCCTCTCAGCTACGAGTTGGTTTCTGCTCTTTCTTTTCTAAACACCTAATTATTCTTTTGGAGTTTGTTTTCCCTAATGGCGTCATCTATCAACCTTTATGTTGATTTGACCCAAATCTCCTATTTCCAGTCTCAATTTCTCAACCACACTCCTAAAGGTCATCACCTAAAACCCATGTTTAAAATTAAACTCATATTTTACTTCGGTTTCTCTAGGCGCTTTCTATTAATAGCAAAGCGGACCGGTCATCTGGGCTTCGGGAGAGAATATTTGACCCTCAAATTCCTTCACCTTTCACACCCTATCAGGCAAGCAGTCCAGTCCATTCTTTGCCACTGACTCATCTCTCCCCCTTTTGTAATCTTTGTTCCCATCCTAGTAGTAGCTCTTCGTGGCCCTTGCCTAAATGGTGACATTTGTTTCTTCAATTGTCCTCCAGCATTTTAATTTCCCATACAATCCACCCTGCAAACTAATGCCAGAAAAAAACAACAACCCTCTTACACACTGATTTTATAATTTGCTTGTCTTATTGGAGAACTTCTGATTGCTCTCTATCACCTAATAAATCAAGATTACTGAGTCAACTCTAATTCATCCTCTGCCTAAATCTGAAGACCCTGCATTGCCCAGTTTCGCTTATTTTATCAAATTCCAGCGCCTCTGGAATTGGAACTTTCCACTCTAGTCAATTATCTTGTTTCTATCATCTTTTCCCCCCCCCCCGGCACGCCCTGTAGGTACACATGCACACCAGGCTCCTTCCCATCTCAGCTGTTAGTTGCTGTGTTTCCCTGGCTTACCATGCTGTTTTCCTTGGTTCCAGCGCAACATCCCAAGTCACTCTTTCCCTCTTGGCTCCAAAACAAAGTTGTATCTCCCTGTTCGAACCTCTTCTGCTTACTGCCATTGCCAAAATACCTGCCAGAATCACCTCCAGAAGCTCGTGTTAAACACTGTAACACTTCATGATGTTAATATGTAAAGCTGTGCTATTTACTATTAATTCCAGGAGACATTCTCCCCAGTTATGAGCTCTGATGTTCCGCTTTAAATGATGTCTTCTACTTTTTTATATTCATAATGCTTAATATAGTCCTGGTATTGGTTGAAACTATAAACACATGCATTTTTTTATACCGTGTCTACCCCTGTAAACTTAGCCTTTTATCTGAATAGTAATAAAATTGTTTCTGTTCTCTTCTTCTAAGTTTCCTCAATAGAAGTGAAAATGCAAATATTCTCAGGTGTTTAGGACATTCTTTGCATATTCAAGCTATACTAACGTTATGCCTTTTAGGGTAATATTTTTAATTATTCTGGAGGAAGAAAAGAAAGCCCCCGGAGGCTAACAGTTTGAAATTGAGCAGGACACTTGTTGGGGAGAGGGGGAGGGTCAGGGGTCATCCTCAAACAGACAAAAAACAATGGAGACTATTGTGCCTGAAGATGGTATATAAATATATATATTTTTTTCACGAGACAGTGTGTTGACAGTTTCCTTCCTCTCGGGTCATTGTTGTCTGCTAAATGATCTGTGACAGCAAATTGATCACAAGCTTTTTCATGCAGGAGATATAATGCAGCCTTTCATTTTGTTACCTCCGTTGCCAAATGCTGAAACATTTCTTTGGGAAATTAATGTTAGTTTAGTATATCATTTAGTAGCAGAAAGCACCGCCCTGTATTCTGGAAGCAATAATAGCAGTGATTCATTTATCTTCAACAAGTTTCAGATTCCTACCTAGGTGTGACTGCAACAGCAATAACATGTTTGAAAAACGTTAGTCTTTAAAATGAGGTGTCTGCAATTATCATTTAAAGAAATGAATGGGTTAACACATTTAGATATTGCCCCACTTGTTTCAAAATTTAGTCAAATATTTACTTTAAGGCACCTATAAAAATCAATGCTAAATAGACCTGTTCTAAAGGAAAAGTTCCTTCTTTCTCCAAAAAGTTAGGAACCTAAAATGGAACACAGGCATAAGGCCTTCTAGGTTTGATGCTTAACCATCTCAGCCAGTCAGGTAGTGAGCTCACATGTCTGAAAAATATCCCAAAGTAATGTTTGTTTGTAGAATGATGAGAATCTCTGCCTTCAAGAAATCTGTAAAAAAAAATTTTTTTTTAAATGGAAAACCAGTTATTTGAGAGACTATTTCACAGTTGCTGCTTAGTTCTTTATAGCAACCATTGCTTTCCCATTAGGACAGGAATATCAACCTGGGGGAGTAAAGCCACAGGCAGGAATCCCAGAAAATAGTTGCAGGTTCTGCTTTGATAATAGCCAAATTCTGTGTCAAAATTAAACTAATCTCAATGCTGGTGTTTCATTTCTCCTCATAATAAAGTAGAAATAAAGGTGATTTGACTAACATTTGGCATAGTAATATAAGACAAGTATTTATTGAAGAAAGACAATGTACGGGTATGATCCTTTCCTCGAAGTTCTTGTTTAGTTAGCCGTAAAAGGCAGATAACTTACACCTGCTGTTGTGTTTATTTTTATATACTACCCATATGGATGCACATTTATATCTATTATTAAAAAATGATTTGGATGGGTTTTCATTTTTGTGATTTGTATGTATGAGTGGAGGAATTAATATGTCAGGTGTGTTAGAAACTGCAAATCAGTTTAATGTCTTGTGACAAGATATTGTTATCTAAAACAGTCCACTCTGATAAAATAATTTTAAAAAGCAAACTTGCAAACTACTCATTGTCTGATTTTAATTTATGTTTTCAGAGCAATTAAAATTTCATTTGATGATTACCACAAGACCTGGTCTGAAATAGCTACGTCCCAAGCTGCCGAGTGTTTCAGAATCCCAAGTAAGCTGGTCTCATCCCATCCTGTGTCCTTGTGGTGTATGTTCATCTCGCAATTATCCTCAGCTTGTCTTGCTTTTAAAGATTAGCTGACATGTATTTGCAATTTGAAGGTGATAAACTTCTCTGTTTGTCCTACATACTAATCATCAACTTAATTTAGTTCCTCTTTTTGTTTAGCATCTTGGACTGGCATCTGATTAAAAGCCAGAAGGAAAGACAGGCAATTGGAGGAATAAAAGATGACAGTTTCTATCTTAAGAGGTTTACTTTACTCCCCTCAACCCAGAAACAAGCCTTCATAGCAGAAGGAATCTTTTTTTATTCTAAACACTATAAATCTTCAAACCCAGAGAACATATTAAGTAGAAAGACACACACACACACACACACACACACACACACACACACACACACCCATATAAAACTAGGGCTTTCAATTATATCCGTCCAAAGCCATCATACATTAGGAATTAAAAAAGGGGACACCTGGACAACTTTGGAGTTCCATTTAATCAAATCTTTTTTTTAAAATATATTTTATTGATTTTTTACAGAGAGAAGGAGAGAGGGATAGAGAGCTAGAAATGTCAATGAGAGAGAAACATCGACCAGCTGCCTCTTGCACACCCCCCACTGGGGATGTGCCCGCAACCAATGTACATGCCCTTGACTGGAATTGAACCTGGGACCTTTCAGTCCGCAGACCGACGCTCTACCACTGAGCTAAACCAGTTTCGGCTAATCAAATCTTTAGAGTATTATTTAATTAGTTGGGTCAAGGCAGGTAATTCAGTTGATACACAATTAGTGAAATATGATTTTGCTTCAGCTATTCTGCTGAATGATACATTCTAAAATTGCCAGTGACTTCCCAATTCCCAGATTCAGTGATTATTTTTCAGTCTTTATCTTGTACTTTCATCAGCTATGCTGTATTTGCATTAGATAACACTGTATATTCTATATAATAAAGAGGTAATAAGCAAGTTGACTGTCATGCCCTCAGACAAGATGGCCACCCCCATGTGGTCACAAGATGTCCAGCAGGGGAGTGCAGTAGTGGGCGACTGGGCTAGCAGGGGAGGGCAGTTGGAGGCGATTGGGCGGGCAGGGGAGTGGTTAGGGGGTGATCGGGCTGGCAGGCAGAAGCAGTTAGGGGCAATCAGGCAGGCAAGTGGTTGGGAGCCAGCAGTCCCGGATTGTGAGAGGGTGCAGTCCGAGCTGAGTGACACCTCTCTCCCCCAGTGCACAAATATATGTGTGTGTGGTGTGTGTGTGTGTGTGTGTGTGTGTGTGTGTGTATGTGTGTGTGTGTGTGTGTGTGTACACAGACACACACATTTATATGTATATACACACAATGTGTGTGTGTGAGAGAGCGATATATATATATATATATATATATATATATATATATATATATATATCCATGTTTTCCTCTTCTCTTAGCAATCCTCTGCCTCTTTCCGTAAAAAACTCTGTTATTCACCCACTCAACACACTTTCTCTAAGAGACCTCATCCACCACTCTGGTCTTCATTAGCCTGCCTTCCTATAATCCCTAAAGCCTCATCACTAGTCAGGTCCTCTCCTGGATTCTGCATGCATGTTTACAACTGAGCATGAACATCTCACATACAGGTGTTCAGGCATCTTACAATTAAGGTGTCCTGAAGTGAATTCATTTCCTTTCCCTAAAACCTTACTCTTTATTACCTCTCTAGATTAGTATAGATCACCATTATTACATTTGCTACTACTTACCTGAACCAGAATTACAGAAGTTTCCTAGACCTCTTTATCACCCTCATTAAATCTTGTTGATTTTATCTCCTACAACATCATGAACGTTTTCCCTCCATTTCACACCGCCCCATAACCACTGCCTTCATTTGTGGTCTCATCAAATTTCACTTCATCATTTTGATGATCTCATAATTGGTTTCAATAGAACAAAATGTTGCACAGTAAAAAAATTTCTAGTTTTAAGGCACAAATTATAGCCAAAAGGTAGCACTCAGCTTAACATAGATAAAAAACATACATTGGATCTTTCAAGATATTGGTTAATAATTATTTTGTGAATAAACATTGCCTTCCTCACTCACTCATGGATTAATGATTAAAAAACATAACTTAAGGTGCTTGAAAAAGACACAGTCTTACTCTGGACGGCTGGCTCAGTTGGTTTAGCATTGTCCTGTGCACCAAAAGGTTACTAGTTCAAGTCCTAGTCAGGGCACCACTTGTCCAGGTTGACTATAAGTTGTTTCTCTCACATCAAAGTTCGTCTCTCTCTTCTCCTCATCCTTCCTCTTTCTTTCTCAAATCAATAAACACACACACACACACACACACACACACACACACACACACATATATATATAGATATATATAAAGAGAGAGAGAAAGACAGAGAGAGAAAGAGAGAGAGAGAGAGAGAGAGAGAGAGAGAGAGAGAGAGCGAGACTATCTCTATCCATATAAAGAATTTTATTATTTTTGAAACCAGGGTATTTGAATGTTTACTTCATTTCAGAAATTAGTGGTTGGTTGCTGTTCAGTCAATTCAACAAACATATCTTGAGTGCTTACTATGTGTGAGGCACTGAGGAGCTCAGGTGCATTTCAGTAAGCAGAAACCCTTAACAAACACTGTCAAGAGGCAGTTGGCACATTGAAGGAATGACTCAGCATCCACCTCCTTCAACCAAAAACCAAACCAATTGATAGAGAATGGCGTTTTATGGGGTAACACATAAAGATAGGGAGGCATTTAGAGACTCCAAACTGCTAGGGTGGGGGGGGGGGGGAAATGAAGCCTATGCCAAAACTTAACAAAATTTGGAAATTATTGTTCTGCACTAATGAACAATTTAAAATGGAAGGATAATGAAACGCTACTGTGCGCAGTTCCTTCTTCAAAAGAGTCTGATACAACATTTTTAACATGGTTCTTCTTACTGTGTCACTAACCTGGCCTGTAATTCACCCTCTTTGAGAAGGCAATAGCTGATCATGATTACCTCTAGCCCAGAAGAATTTCTGAGACTTTGATTCCAGCCCTTGGTGCAATATTTCTTCATCACCCTGACTCTTCTTCCCCCAGAGATTTGTTATAAGAATGTTTCAAGAGCTTTCTTTTTAATAATAACCTGCACTTAATTAAAAAAAAAAATGTAAATATTACATTTGCTGCTGGCCTTTTTGTCTTTGGATAATTCAGCTGGATGAGATCCAGCACTACTTTTTTTTTTTTTTATCAGCCAAATTTCCTGGCAATAATAAAGATGAAGCTTTTAGATTATAGAATGTGTCTTCAACTACTCAGAAATAAAAGGGAAACTTCTAATAACTTCATTTTCTGCAGTTACAGTCTTATCACTGGAGATATTATTAAGCTCTTGTGCATGTTTTTAAGAGCTTTTTATTTCACGAATAGTGATGAGTGGTTATAGTGGGGTAATAACTCTTTTCCACTTCTTTGTGCCGCTAATCTATCAATAGTCACGTGTGCCGTAATGATGGTACATTTATTCTTGTCCAGCATGGTTTTCAGAGTGTACTCTGTATTATGTTTTTTAATCACCCCAATGTTATTCTTTTATTTGTTTATCAACAAATATTTATTAAGCATCTAACAAGTGTTATGCACAGTGGTATATCAGCCCAATGAGCTAGGCACTATTTTTATTATTTTTTAAAAATATTTTTATTGATTTTTTACAGAATGGAAGGGAGAGGGATAGAGAGCTAGAAACGTCGATGAGAGAGAAACATCGACCAGCTGCCTCCTGCACACCCCCAACTGGGGATGTGCCCGCAACCAATGTACACGCCCTTGACCGGAATTGAACCCAGGACCTTTCAGTCCGCAGACCGGCGCTCTATCCACTGAGCCAAACCTGATTCAGCTAGGCATTATTTTTATAACTCTGTTTTACAAATGAGAGAACTAAGACCGAAGCAAGCTAAGTAATTTACCTAAGGTCACACGTGTAAGAGGTAATATCATTTATTGGTATAAAGAGTATAAATTCTGGAGCCAGATAGTTGAGGGTTAATCCTGGCTCTGCCATTTACTAGCTGTATGGCATTGGGGTAAATTTCTTAACCTCTCTGTGTTCCAATTCCTCTGTCTGTAAGATAAGAATGACTATAGCACACATCTCATAGGCTGAAGCACTTATAGCTGCACCTAGCACATGAGTGTTCAATAAATGTGGTTATTATTAATTAGTACAAATAGACTGTAGCCCAAGGACTTGAACCAGATCCTCTGACTCCACAGTTATTGCTTCTTGTCATACTATACTGCCTTTATAATATGACAAAAAGTGTTTATTTCTTTATAGCCTGAGATTTATTTTTAGTTGAATTTATTGGGGTTACATTTATTAATAATATTATATAGGTTTAAGGGGTTCCATTCTATATGGCCTGAGGTTTAAATTCAAACTCTTAAAAATATGCAGTACGTGTTTTAATAATTATAATTATTAGTCCATAATCATAGGCAATCATATGGGAAAATGCATGAATGATCCACCGTTCTCTGTCCATCACTATAGAATGGCAAATTAAAAGCTTGGCAGAGAACAAACCACTACATCTGGTTGTGGGCAAGAGCACCTTAACGACAGAATATGATCCCCATAAGGAAATGTTTATGTTTGAGGAAAAGAATTCCTTCAGACCAGTGTACCCTGTAATATTGAGCGGGGGCTTCCTGATGTTTGCTGTCATCAAGACAGACCAAACAGCCTGAAGCATCCTGGGGATGCTTGCTTTCACCCTAGGAGACTTTCATTCTTTGAGTCTTTGAGCCAGAAACAAGGGCAAGTGTCTCTGAACTGCGTTTAGTCCTGAGAGGCAGTATCATCTAATCCTCATGCCTGGTTCTAAGCCTTGACTGCTCATTAGAACCCCAGAGGAGCTTGTAAAAATTCCCATGGAAAGGGCACACCCCAGACCAATTACATCAAGAGCTCTGGGAACGAGACCAGGCAGCAATAGCTTTTAAAGCTCCCCAGGTGATTGCAATGTGCAACCAAGGTTAGAAAGGCTCTAGCAGGAAGAGCACGATGCCAGAAGTTCGAGACTCCTTAGCCCTGAATTAGTTTGCCACATACAGTAAAGTGAATTTAGGTTCGTCATTTAATGTTTTGTACCTCATTTTTTTTTTCATGTCTATTCATTGACAGCATTTTGTTTCAAGTTGCTCTATGGTTAGTATGAGATAATATGTGTGAAAATAAAACCTGCTAAGGCAAGTTGGCGCTATTATATTTCTTTGGACATTGGCAGTCCAGTAGTAGAATTTTTTTTTTTAAATCAGCCTATACAGATGTTGGAAAAAAGGTGTGTCATAGCAAAAACGAAGTAGAAACAATACCTGATAAACCTTAGGAGGGAAGGAAGAAATATTATGCAGGCGGTAGAAATTGATTTTCTATCACAAACCACAAAAGCCAAGATACGGTAATGTTGGGGGAATTTCAATTTCAAGAACTTCTGATAGAATCTTACTGCTACTTTCTTCTTGATCTCTTTCCTGTGCTCCTGAGCTCTTTTTTTTTCTCCTGTCCTTGTTCCTCCATTTTTCCCCTCTAATCAACATGATTTATTGAACATCTTCTATCTCAAGGCAATGGACTGTGTGTTGGAGACAAGAAGTAAGTATTATGGTAAGCTTACTGAGGAGTTTACAGACAGGTGGTCAGAGACAGATAAGTGAAAAAAAATTATAGGGATAAAATAGGCGTATTAAACATTTGTACAAATACTGGGACTTTAAAAAAAAATCTCTCAGCAGAGAAAACAATGAATAAAATAAGTCAATTATGTCAAATTAATGGGAATAGTCAGGAAAGATGACCATGCCATTTGGGGTTTCATAATATATAAGAAAGAGACTGCTGTACATATTCAAATAGGAAATGTAGAAAAGGGAATTTCAAAAAAATTAAGGGAATATATAAATTATCCTTGATTAGAATTTTAAATTTTGTCTAAGTAATACATAATCACAATGAAAAGACTTAATCTTTTGTATGTTCGTCTGTAAAGTGGGTATTATAGTGGAAACCACTGCATTCATACTTTACAAGTGCCCAGTATTTAGTAAGAACTCTATTAATATTAGTTATTATAATCATCTGGAGGAAACAATGAAACCTCACTGAGAATTCTTGGGAGCTCAGATTTCCTTCTTTAATGGAAGAGAGGGGTATATATATCCAGATACCAATAGAAATAATATTAATAAAACCTCTAAGAATACATATATATGTAGTATATATATATGCTTATGTATTATTAAAACAAGAAAAGAATTTTTAAATATTTTTATTGCTTTCAGAGAGAGAGAAGAGCGAGAGAAACATCAATCATGAGAATCGTTGATCAGCATGCCCCCTACTGGATGGAGCCCGCAACCGTGGCATGTGCCCTTGACCAGAATGGAATGAATCTAAGACCCTGCAGTTCTAAGGCCAACACTCTATCCACTTAGCTAAACTGGCTAGGACCCAAGGAAAGAAATTAAAATATAGATAGGAACATTGCTAGTGAAAATCATATAATATTAATAAAAGAAAATTACTCAATTTAAATGTTGTTTTTATCAGTGACAAATTTCATCGGGCAAGAAGGGGATAATCAATCATTGGTAAGAACTAAGTTCCAGATATTGGCAAGATTGGTGAAGACATCTAGTTGGTTAAATAGTTCATGACTATAAAGCTAGGACAATTAAAAGAAACAGAGAGATGATAGACTGACAGACAGATAGACAAATAGGTATGGTATACATGTGTATTTGATCTGGATCTAATTGTATTTTATGTAAAATCTACCAGTGCCTTAACATAATAGATGTCAATAAATTTTATGTGAATTTGAAGGCATAAGTTTTATAATTAACCACAAAGATATGATCAAGTGGTGTAATGTGATTTCCACAAAATACTAATGCAGATCCAAGGTGTAGCACACAGATCCAGGGAAGTAGTAAGTCACTTGCATCTTTGTTATTCAAATGAAACCAAGATCCTGGTCCTGGATGCAAATTTTAATAGGAGCATCAACAAATGTCATTGCCAGGACGGTGAGGATGGTTGGGTCGCTGGAAAATCATGTCCTAGAAATAGTTGTGGGAACTGAAGCTTCCCTGAGAGCTGTCTTCAAATATTAGAAGGGCTCTCTCCCCTAGGGGAGGAATGAGCTTACCATGACAGCTCCGGAGGTCAGACCCAGACCAGTGGAAACTCAGCACTCGGATGAAGGAAGGACCCCGTGACTTTCTGTCTGTCAATGGGAAGGCAGCTCCTCAGCTACCAAGAGGAGTTTTTTGTTGTTAGCAAAGGAATCATTTACAGGCTGTAGGGTCATCTGTTGCAGTCTCTTTGGGAAAGATCAAGATCTTTAAAGTCACTTTGAATGCCAAGATTTTACTTTGCTACTTGAAGTGCTAATTAGAATTTTGTTAAACTATGGTGTCTATAGTTTCTATAGGAGTATTTTAACACCTTCTTCATCTCTATAAATGATACATAAACAAATGTCATTACAATGAAAAATTTTTAAGTCACAATCTACTTATTTCAAACAATATCCAATATTACCAAAGGAAAAAATATGGAAAGCATCTGAGCATTCTCACACGATTTGTAGTATATTGTCTACATCATTGCCACATATCAATTTAATGAGAAGTGGATTATTTTAAACTTTGAACTATCATTAAAGAATGCATATATAGCTTCTTTTTATATTCTAATTTCAGTGCTCCAGAATCCAGCTTTCATTGGACACCATCATAAATGGAAGAAAATGGAGCAAAAACATCAGAAAGAATGGAATTTAAAGTAAGTAACCTTAAGTGTCTGGAATATATTATCCTATTAACTTGAAAAAGATCAACGATTCCACTTTCTACTATCTAACTGAACCATCAGAAGAAACCCTTTGGAAAGAACTTTTTGTTATGTTTTTTTTCCCTAAACATAACAAAAATAAGAAATATTATCATGTTTTCCCTTTCATATGAATCCAGGTGGGAAACATCTTTGCTACCTATTGGTTGCCAAAAATGGATAAAGGACATGAGGTAGAAATAGGAATAAGGAAAGAAAATACCCTTAACTTGTTTATATATCATCAAATAGCTTTTCATCCTTCTCAGAGTTCCAAATATGTTTCCTCTCCCACAGATTTCTCTCTCAGAAACCGAATATATGACATCTAATGAGAAAGTATGTGGTAAAGTACAGATATAAAATCGATTTTATCTTCAGAAATCAGACTCTTAAGGAAGGAATCCCAGTCTCATCTTGGGCTCTTGACTTCCAAAGGCTGTTTTGTTTGTTTGTTTGTTTGTTTGTTTGTTTGTTTTTTGCTTCATGATGCAAGAGCAAAGACTTCGTCTTCACTCTGTGGTGTGGTTTGGTTGTAGTATTATTTATCCTGGTGGCTTACTTCAAAGTACTGAGTGTGCTACCACAAAGCTAGGGGGATTAAATACCCCCCCCCTTTTGGCATTGACATCATTTACCTCATTGTTTCAAATCTTTGACTTGTTAGCATCTGACCTCTTTTCTAGATGGAAATGCAGGATCATAATGAATGTGCTGTATTTTGGATTTGTGTAGGAATCGAGGCTCTTAAAATATACTTTCCTGCCTTTTTGCATCAGACTTCAGATTGGGTTTTCAGTCTGGATATTCTTTTTCCAGTTGACTCTGGCAACAACTCCTCTTTAAGCCAAAGTGGAGAAAAGCTCTTCCATTAGATGCCTTTCTGTTTTCAGAATAAATTATAGGGAGTAGAGAACTTTTATTAAACAGAATTTGAAATGCATGCATGTTTTTTTTTCCTTGAAGTCATGTTTTAAGTTTCATTTAAGAGTTAAAGAAACATACTTAGAATATAAAGTTAATTTTGCTTTGACGTGACTTCCTTTTCTATTTCCTTTAGGAGAACTGCTTTGTTTTATTTGTTTGATCATATATTCATTATGTAATGCCAGCATCCCACAAAACCCCCAAATTTAGAAAAAGTAGGACCATGTCATTTTCAACTTATCCATCCACTTCTACATATGGCTGAAATAATTGCAAGCTGTTTGAGTGCTAGAACATTTTTCCAAATACATTATTTTGAAGTTATAGGTCACATTATCATGTGCGTGGTGACCTTGTCAGTACGAAACTCTCACACCTTATGCCATCTGGTGGTTGATGAGAATATATTTATATCGGATAATACTTGCTTCTTTTCAATATTAGAATTGATTAGCTAAAAACAAAACAAAACACTAAAGTTTTTTAAAGATATTGCACTTATCTGTATAATTTTATTGTGACATAATATTTGAGTATGCAAAAATCTGAAGTACCATATTTTCCGATGTATAAGATGACCCCTAATTTTACAGTTAAAACATAGGTTTAGACCTATATTCGCTGTATAAGACTACCCCCCACTTCAAAGAAAAGACTTACTTTGCCATCAAGATCTGCAGGTAATTTTTGTGCAATTTTGGTCTTTTGCCCCCGATTTTCGGTTGACTTTTTTTCGTTTCAAAGGTCGTCTTATACGCCAGAAAATATGGTATGGAGGAAGACTTTTTCCAGATAATTATTAAAAGTCTCATATTCACTGAAACCGGTTTTGCTCAGTGGATAGAGCGTCAGCCTGGGGACTGAAGGGTTCGATTCCAGTCAAGGGCATGTACCTTGGTTGTGGGCACATTCCCTGTGGGACGTGTGTAGGAGGCGGCTGATCAATGTTTCTCTCTCATTGATGTTTCTAGCTCTCTATCCCTCTCTCCCTTCCTCTCTGTAAAAAAATCAATAATCAAAAATCAATAATCAAAAATCAATATTTTAAAAGTCTCATATTCATCAAAATATATGAGGTATAATGAAGTGGTAGATGCATAAAGACAAGTAGAAAATGTTTGGGGATCTATATAAGTGAGCAATTGGTCTTCATGCCCATGCAATATCACACTACTATGCATCTTTCTGTTTCTCTATTTGAAAATGCCTTTCTTACACTGAAATTTTCTATTAAAAACAAAACCAAAAAAAATGCAAATTGAGAATCTTTAAACTGTATAGCATTAAGGGAAAAGAGAGACTTATCTTTCCTGCTTCATATCCCTCCTCCCACTGTCCTCCCATCCCCTCATCAATCAATTCTTCAGCCACACTAAATTCTTTTCTATTCTTGGGGACATAAGATCTTTTCACCTCTTTGTGCCTTCTGCCTGGGATATCTTGCCCAGTAGGGTCCTTGCTGGTGGTCTAGAGTTAGGATTGGTCTGAGTGAAAACGTGGAATGTGGAATACTTAAGTGCAGGGGTACTGGAGCCGGGCTGCCTATACCAGATCCTGGCTCTGCCAGTTATCCACTCTGTGACCTTGGGCAAGTTATCTGAATTCTTTATACCTTAGTTTCATTCTCTGTTAAAGGGCATTAATTCCTGTACCTACACCCCTTTGCAGTTGTGAGAATTAAATAAATTAACATGTACAATGCTTCAAATTGTATCCGGAACGAAATAAGTTCTCCTGAGGTTCTCTATTACTCATGCTCTTCCTACTGTGGCTCTAGTTCAAGTTTCTGATGGAAAATATTTGAAGGCAGCATGGGGAAAGGGCATGAGCTTTAGACAGACATCTTGGGGAAAGTCTTACCCACAGTTGAGTTTGTTTCCTTGCCTATTAAATATAGACAATATGACCAAAGTTGTCTTGCATTTGGTCTCTTGAATGAGATTGTATATATAAAATTATATACTGTTGACATATAGACAGTCAACAAATATTAGTCCCTTGGGAGCAGGGAGAGATAAAAGCCCATGCCCACCAACTTTTTAAATATAAATAATCTGTCAGAAACACGTGAAAAATTTTACAATTTTCTCTTTAGGAAAGTAATACCTATCATGACTACATTTATTTTAGTCCCATTATATGCATATTTTTCCTCCCCCTTTCCACTCCACCTCTACCCTCTCTTCTGCCTGGCAAAGTATTTCACAAGGATGGTGCGAAGATACAGCTGAGTTGTCTCTTTGTGAGAGGGTCCCTGTCATCCTATCCTTGCAAAGCACTCTCTCCCTAGCTCTTTCAGCCCCCGTGGCATGGGACTTCATCAATTCACAAAGAGTGACCAGAGTAGGGCCATTCTTGTAGTTTAGCACTGTACCTGCCCAACTAGCAGGCACTCATGTAGTGTTTATAGAATGATGCTCACTTAACGTGTACCTTGTTTTTCCACTTAATAGGATTAAATGTGAGGACAGTTAATTTTCAGAGAAATAAAATGTGGGTACCGTCTTCTATTAAGGCCCATTATAATGTAGAGATTATAGTTCTATTTAGAAAATTGTAAGGATGTAGTCATAGAAAGTGATTGAAAACTGGAAATATAAATGACTGTCATAAATATTTTATGCAAATTCTTAAGTCCCACCTATGTTTTTAGTTAGTATTATTAGGTATCTATTGTCATTATAAGCAGCTCATAAATAATTATGAATTTATCATTTGGTTTAGTGTTCATTTCTAAGGCTTTTTTTTTCTTTTCCATTGTCTTGCCTGCCTTTTGGCTATTTGTACAAATGCTTTATTTCAACCAAGACCTAGGAAAAATATGAGTCTAGCATCTAATCAGTAGTTTGCATATATTTTCTCTGTAGAAAGACTGAAAGATACAAAATCAGAAAGCAGTGCAAGCTATTTTTTAAATTTTCTTACTTATGCACATATAAAACTATTTTATGTCATGATCTATAGTTAATGATTGCTTATGTGGTAATGGAAAGATCTATGCCAGTAGACTAAGATTTGTCAGGCAGAAAGTAATCTATATAAAAGTTACCAATTCTGGAGAAGTTTTATATTCTATGTAGCTTTAGAAAAGGGTATTGCTCTTGTCTATTAAAAGAAAGTGCAGGAACTAACATGGCAAAGCATCTACTGTGTTCCAGACATTCTCCCTTTGTTTCCTAATGTAATACTGGCCATGCTGTTGTGGAGCTGTCCTCTAAGTGTACACACACTTCTCTAAGCGTAACACCCAATCATACCCATCAGCCTTCTTCAAAGCCAACTAACTCGTCAACCTACACTCCAAGTCAAAGCATTTTCGTTGTTTTACGGTCACAGCTTTAAGACAAGGGTCTTAACCTCCCTTTCTGGAAAAGCAGAAATGGCTAGTATATGCGGTTTACTAATGAGGGAAACATGAGGTACAAAGAGACTAATCAGCTTGCCTGAACTTATAGATAAGCACATATTGTGTTTACAAATGAAAACTAGATCATTTCCAATCTGCCTATTAATATGTGCTTATTAATTTTCAGGTAACTGTAAAAATATTGCCTACCCATTGCAAGCACAAATTGAGTCTACCTCCTATAAATAAGTTTGTGGGGGTTTTGTTTTGTTTGGAGTCAATCTCAACATCTATTATTAAACAGTGTTACTTCCTTTCTCCTATATATAAAAAATTAACATGTGTTATAACAAACACCAGCATAAAACTTTCTTGTATTTATGGAACATACTCTGGATTTAATTTTACTATTTTTCAATAAGAATTTAATGTGTGTTATTTCTAAGTTCCTGCAGTATGTGATTCTGTGTGTTTTAACTCACAAAAATATATGGTCTTACTTTAGCATAACTATGTTTGATTCTCTTTTCTCCAGTTATACAGAAAACATTTATGCTGGGTACATTAATTTAGTGGGTGTCTGTGCTATTCTTTCAGAGTTATTGAGGTTAAACATTTTTTATAGGGTTATATAAGTATATATTTAATGCATTTTAAGGAGAAATGCTAGCTTTTTTTA